CTCTGGGATGCTGGAAATACAGTGCAGGAAATTGCCGCGCAGGTTCAATGCAGTGTAAAAACTGCTAGAAGATGGGTACAAAAATATGAAGTAGGTGGTGACTTATTTCAAGACCAGCGACACTTTAACATGCGCCCAAGACATTCCACTCCGGCTGAAGATGAAGCGATTATACAGGAAATGAAAGCAAATCCTTTTCAACCCGCCAATAAAATACCTTTAGTACTTGGATTAAATGTATCAGGACGGATAGCTCAAATGCGACTTCGTGCTGCAGGAGTAAAATGCCGGAAAGCTGCGAAGAAACCACTTTTGACACCTCGACATAGAGATCAACGAATGAACTTTGCCATGAATCATTTAGACATCACGGATGACATTATACGACTAAATTGGCCTCCGAGGTCTCCAGACCTCAACGTGATTGAAAATCTCTGGGCAGAGATGGTACGAGAGTGGACGCCCCACGTTGTACACCGAAGGGAAGACCTTCTGCAACGAGTGCATCTGGCTTGGGCTGATCTGAACCGACGTCCCGAATATTGCCAGACAATTGTTGAGTCAATGCATCGTAGATTACTTACCGTATTGGCCTCCGATGGAGACGCTATAAATTACTGAGAGGTAATGCTGACATATTGATAAAAGAAATTATTTGAAATTATATTATACATAAAAAGAGACTAACTTGAATATTTATGTACTTTCGTAAATAGCATGTGAGATATTTTTCGAAAACAAGACCTCTGTTTCATGCATCTACGTGCTTACATGATTTTCGTTCTCTCCACAGGCTCGACATTCCTCAACATTCCAGAGGATTATATAAACGATGAGCGGACGTCCCTCTTTTTATATCTTTTCCTTTCATACTTCGTTTATCTCTTTCATCTCCTTTCTTTTTACTTTCTTTTCAGCCTCTTTCCTGTATAATATAGTAGTGTTAATAGCGTTGAAACGAAAACCTGTAACTGAAAATAAAATATATAACATAAAGTATCGATTTTTTTTACAATAAAGCATTAAAAATAGAGATTTTGTAATGGAAAAGGTTAAGAAACGTAAAACTTATCTAAAAATCAGATAATCTTAAAGATTATTTTAATCTTAAAGATGTTATTTACCTCTCGATATTTGTAACGATATTCTCGATATTTGTTTATGATTTGATATTATTATGAATATTTATGAAGCGCGACGAACGTGCTATTCGTACTAACGAAGTATTGAATATCCTCAGTGAGTGTCCTCGCCTGACTCCTTGGCTTATGGGTCTTCTCAATGTCGTCTTTCGTCCTTACGACATAGCCCATTAGACAAATATATCGGAAGATGGGTTTAGTCTGTCGTATATCACTACTGAAACTTTTCGTGCATTTTCACGGTAGTTTATTCTAGACTTTAACACCTAAAAATGTAATAAAAATCCACAAAGCAATTGTTTTTCATTTAGTGCAATTTGTGAAACTTTTAAGGAAAAGAAAACTTATCTGAAATACCGTAATGTTAGCTTTCTAGAGGCTCGCTAAATAATATATTTGCGCTTTCTTGCACTCCACGCCGAGATCCTTTTGCCACTGTCTTTTCCACGGAGATATGGGATAAAAATACTAAAATAGATAATCACGGAAATGTTCAAGATTCTAAATATTTAAATATAATATTTAAATGTAAAATAATAAATTATAAATACCATATAGATATATGATTCGTTCATAACATTAAAATATAACCAATTGCTCTTACAACTTACCATATTCTGCACGCTGTTGAAAAAATTTCGATCACATCTGCTATTTACTTATTTAAAACTCCCGAAAATTCAGGTTATTTCGCCTGTATGTCAAATCAGTCAAATGTGGTCGTAAGCGGACGTAAGGTTCAGTCGTAACGTCAATCGAGCATGGATTGTGACAATTAATATAGAAAGGTGGTCACTTTTCATTTTGTGAAAATTTCCGAAGGACAGAATTAATTACCGTGGGTGTACCTTGTCACAACATACACTACTGTTTTGGATTAACAACAACCAATCAGGCTTTAGTAAACAGAAGAAGAACGATCATATTGTTTCTGTCTCTCACTCTACTGTTTCTACCCCCACCACTATCATCAGCGGTCCATTCTAGATGAGAAAAACGCGTCGAATGAATATAATTTAGGCCCGTTCTACAATAAAGCCCATTCTACAATGGATAGTAGTAGTAGTGGATTAAGGAGTAGGTGTAGAAATCAACAAATCATAATTGAATGTGAGGAGAATAATTAACTATCATTGGTCGATTTCTACACCTATTCCTTGATTTACTACTGCTACTGCCCATTGTAGAATGGGCTTAAGTCAGGAGCCGTGTCGTATGTCGTGCCGTAAAGCCGTAATCACACTAGCGATTGCGCGATTGTGATTAACGATTATTTCTCAACCAATCGGAACAAAGTAATCGGTGACTGCTTTGCTCTGATTGGTTGAAAAGTAATCCTCAATCTTTAATCACAATCGCTAGTGTGATTACGGCTTAAGAAATTGGCCAATCACAGATAAAAACAATCGACCATGATTGGTTAATTTTTTACGGCACGAAATCCGACGCCGATATACGACGTATTGTAGAACAGGCCTTAAGCCGTAATCACTAGCGATTGCGCGATTGTGATTGATGATTGAGGATTATTTCTCAACCAATCAGAACAAAGCAATCGGTGACTGCTTTGCTTTGATGCATGGCCCTCATTGGCTATCGCTCGCCGTTTCACCGCTGCGCCGCTCTATGTAGGCTCCTTTGTGGCTATGGCAGAGAACGAGACGTAACATGCGTAGTCGTAACGTAAAGCCCATTCTACATTGGTCGTATCGTAGCATCGTAAGCGTCGTGAGACTTCTAATGGGCCTTCTACTATAAGCCATAAGTCATAAATCGGAAGTAAGAAACTAAAAATTGACAACTGTGATTGGTCCATTTCTAGCTTATGACTTATGATTTGTGACTTACGGCTTATTGTAGAAAGCCCATAATTGACACATCGGATTGGTTGTTGCAACAAATTTGTGACCTGCGACGTCTACGATAAGACTAGAGACCCTATACCAGAGTCTGGACACGAGCGCGATTGTGGCAAAATGCTACGAGAGAGAAAGATATATATATACACTAGCTTCGTCTATTAATTCTAACCTTAATGTAA